TATTTAAATCTAAATTCTCTTTATTTAAACCAAATATTGTTTATTTAAATTTGGTAAACAATAAAATTAAATTTGATAAACAATAGGCGTAATCGGACGCGTCAATGGTGACGATGAAATTTTTTCTGAAGTTGGTATATTATAACATGGGAAAAAATTTACATATCATAAATATAAGGTAGGTAGTAAACGAAAACGTCGATCCCTTTATAAAAATACTGTTTTCTTTCCCTAAAGGGTGGGAGAGGAGTGTATGAAGTTGGCACCCCACTTTTTGAAATTTATAATTTTGAAAGTTGTTCCAGATTGTTCTGACATTGTACCACATTGTTCCAAAGTGATATTGCTTCATTCAAAACGGTTTTCGAATAAAACAAAAAAAATAATTTTTTGAGCTGGCACCCCACTTTTCGAAAATCGAACATTCTGATACCGCAATAGATTGTTCTAGTTGTTCCAAACATTGTTCCAAAACGGCAAATCCGTAAGTTGAATTATAAGTCCAAAAAATGAAAAAAATGTTTTTGACCTGGCACCCCATTTTTTGAAAATAAAGCATTCCGATACCGATATAGATTGTTCTAGTTGTTCCAAACATTGTTCCAAAAGCACAAATCAATAAGTTTAATTATAAGCCCGAAAAATTAAAAAAAAGTTTTTTGACAAACAGTCTATCGGACCAAGAGTAAACTTATACTATCTTTCTTGTTCCAACCGAGATCTTTTTGTTCTGAGTTGTTCTAGGCTTAAGAATTATAGTTCTAGAGTATGAGACTCATAAGATCATTCGTTCTCCGAAAATTCGTAAAAAAATCGATTTGACAGTACTCGACGTCAAGAGTAAACACATGCTTCCTTTCTTGTTCCAACCGAGATCTTTTTGTTCTGAGTTGTGCTAGGCTTAAGAATTATAGTTTTAGAGTATGAGACTCGTAGCGTCATCCGTTCTCCGAAAATTCGAAAAAAAATCGATTTGACAGCACCCGACGTCAAGAGAAAACACATGCTTCCTTTCTTGTTCCAACTGAGATCTTTTTGTTCTGAGTTATACTAGGCTTAAACGACGAAGCAATTTCACTTTATTTTGTCATGACATTTTGTAATTATTTCCGCCAATTTTCCTATAATAAAGATTAATTTTTGTAAGAAATCATCTTTTTCTTGAATTTTTGTCACCTCAGAAATATATTTCAATCATCCTTATTTTCAATCATCCAAATAATTATACTTTTTTAAATCAGTATATAGAACTTTTTGTTGGTTGAATATGACGACTTGTTGCGTAAGCCAAAAAAACTTTCCGTTCAAGCTAAAGGCAATGTAAATATATGTATTTATGTAGAAACATAAAATATTTTTAACCCTCCGTTTGCATTATGTTTTTTACTAACGCCATTTGCACGGTGACCCCTTTAAGTCCTGTAACATTTTTTTGTTAAACTCATCTAAAAAATCTGAAAAAATTCTGGGATACTCTAGAGAGATTATATTTTATGTTCCAATAGTTACTTTAGTCATTTATTAACAATTTTTTGCAATAACAATTTAAATTTGCCGAAATCGACAAAAAATGTAATTTCGTAAAAAAAATTCATAACTTAACAACATATTAAAATTAACAAAAATATTTTCAGGTTTTTTTAGATGAAACTATTTTCTTAAAAAAAAAAGTTCTATATACTGATTTAAAAAAGTATAATTATTTGGATGATTGAAAATAAGGATGATTGAAATATATTTCTGAGGTGACAAAAATTCAAGAAAAAGATGATTTCTTACAAAAATTAATCTTTATTATAGGAAAATTGGCGGAAATAATTACAAAATGTCATGACAAAATAAAGTGAAATTGCTTCGTCGTTTAAGCCTAGTATAACTCAGAACAAAAAGATCTCAGTTGGAACAAGAAAGGAAGCATGTGTTTTCTCTTGACGTCGGGTGCTGTCAAATCGATTTTTTTTCGAATTTTCGGAGAACGGATGACGCTACGAGTCTCATACTCTAAAACTATAATTCTTAAGCCTAGAACAACTCAGAACAAAAAGATCTCGGTTGGAACAAGAAAGATAGTATAAGTTTACTCTTGGTCCGATAGACTGTTTGTCAAAAAACTTTTTTTTAATTTTTCGGGCTTATAATTAAACTTATTGATTTGTGCTTTTGGAACAATGTTTGGAACAACTAGAACAATCTATATCGGTATCGGAATGCTTTATTTTCAAAAAATGGGGTGCCAGGTCAAAAACATTTTTTTCATTTTTTAGACTTATAATTCAACTTACGGATTTGCCGTTTTGGAACAATGTTTGGAACAACTAGAACAATCTATTGCGGTATCAGAATGTTCGATTTTCGAAAAGTGGGGTGCCAGCTCAAAAAATTATTTTTTTTGTTTTATTCGAAAACCGTTTTGAATGAAGCAATATCACTTTGGAATAATGTGGTACAATGTCAGAACAATCTGGAACAACTTTCAAAATTATAAATTTCAAAAAGTGGGGTGCCAACTTCATACACTCGTAAGAGAGTCAGTGTTGTCACCATCAGAGTGATTATATAAGGGTGTGATCAAATCATCTAAATCAAATGCCCAAGTAAGGAGAGGCTCGCGAACAATCTATAGAGAGGAAGTGCATTTCGAGCTCAACACTGCACTGCATGTTTCGCTTATTTAGCAATTTGGAAACCACTAATAAGATATAAAAAGAAGAACCTCTTATAAGAAGTTCTTTAGTAGAACCTTTAGACTGAGGGAAAAATTACCTTAAAACCAAGAAATATTTGTTTGATGGGCCATCAGAGCCTGATGGACAGCATCAAGTCCTGTCCAGAAGAGATATATCGCAAATTCGGCATGGCGACTAAGAGAACTTCTAAGACTACGTTCGACCCCGACAAAGACACGATAGAGCAGAACATAATACGTCCGCGACGTTCGAATCAGGAAATCAGGTGCTTGACGCTTTGTTAAACGATTTTTACGAGATGGACGAAGTACGTCGAACATTACATATACTCACAACACATGAGGCCGAACATGTTCGTGGCCAACTATGGGGAAATCCTATCAACTATAGGGAAATCCTATCAACTATAGGAAATTACGGGATACGTATATTCGCCGTCGTTGTCTGGTTTTTTTTTTTTTGTAAACCCATCTGTCTTGTCCAATAAGAGAATTTATTTTTCAATAAAAAAGCTCTCTCATTGAATAAAGCAGATAAGTTTCGAAACTTACAAAAAAACAACCAGACAACTTTTTCGGCAGCGAGTGTACAATAACCCAAATTTACGAAACGACTCATTTCTGGAACCGCGATTCTTAGTGACGGACGAAAACAAGAAACGAGGGATTTAATATCGACCTTCGACGGAACGAACGAACACCGCTTAAAAGAGTTTCTGAAGGCCTGCAGGTACACATATAAAATCATATAACCATACGAAATATTCGCTGAAAACTCAAACGTAAATTATGCTTTAAAAAGGAGACTAAAATTATCATAAACATGCACGCGAACCGACTTAAATTATTTATAAAAAATTAAAACTTACCCATTATGGAGAGCGACGCAGAGACTTAGGAACGAAAATTAGCATTACCGTCACCATAAAACTTTTCCGGAGTAAAGGGTTGGACCTTTAGGTTCGGCGCACAAAATATTCTTGTAAAAATAGTTTGGCATCGCCCGCTGACGACGTCACCATTACAATTTAGCCGATTGGCCGCAACACAAGTATATCACAAAAAAAACACTCACTTCACTACTCGACACCATGAGAGCTACTCAAGTCCTATGTAGAAGACACAGGAGGACTAGACTCCTGTGCGTCGTTGAAGCTTCTATTTTTATAGGTGTCAGAATATCATAGCTATCATATGATATCATATCATATTTTCTTCCAAGATACTCAGACTGAAGACAACAAGGAATGCCAGAAAAAAGATGATGCACCATACGTTACACAAGAATTAAAACCAACCTGCCCAAGGACACAATGTTATATGTAACATATTAGTAATTTCCTACTCAACAATATAACTGTGTGTTGTATAATACACGTATTACATTGAGTAGAAAATTGTAACTAATAGGTATATTACATATAACATCGTGTTTGCTGAGAGGACTATATTTCGACAAAATCGAATATCTACACTAAATGACATCAATCTGGAAGATCATTATAAAATTTGATATTAATTTCTTGGTCGTGTTTAAAGCGAGATTTTACTCCAAAAAATTTAGAAAACGGTTATTTAATAAATTAATCACACAACGCAAAATCGACAACTTAACGATTATTTCGCTTGCACACAACTCACATGTTACAATCAACAAACACATTTCTACGTTGACACTCTGCAAAAATTTATATAACCTAGACGAAAAAGGCGCAACAAATGTACGAAAACTAATAATAAAAAAATAAAGGTTCCTTTTTGTTTTAATATCACAATCTATAAAAGAATACTTTTCGCTTTCATCCACCATTATTCTTCCATCGTTCTGCAGACTTACATCACTATATTGGTGGTAGAGGTAGAATAAATGCGGAACGTAGTTTCTTATAGACTAGGATATTAATAAAAAGAAATGTTTATTTAGAATTTTCTGTTATAATTACAATACGATCCATAGCGCCCGTTCGTATAACTGTTCAGCAACCAAGAACCGCGCTTTTTATATCTTATTAGTGGTTTATAAATCGCTAGATAAGCGAAACGTGCAGTGCGGTGCTGAGTACGCAGTATACTTTCGATTGTTCGCGAGCCTATCCTTATTTGAACATTTGATTTGAATAATATGGCCATGTTATATAAATTCTGGCTATGGCAACAACATGTATAACTTACGTTATACTTTTCAAATCAAAATTGGTCTATTTTACCAGAGAATGTTACTTAAAAATATTAGAGATAACTAAAATAACGATAAAAGTAACAGTTGAATTCGTTACTTTAAAAATGTAATACGACGTATACGTTACAAACAAAAAAAATAATGATTATTATCGAAAAAAAAAAATAATAATAGCGTTACAAGTAACACATTACTTCTCAACTTTGCATTTTATCGTCCCTTAGCTACGAGAATAAAGTAACAAGTCACACGAAATTGAATGACTTTTTACTCATACAAAATAAATTTTCCACTCTAAATTGAATATTGAGTAAATATATGCGAAATTAAAGGATATGATTCTAATTTATCGTCATTGGAACAAATCTATTTTAAACATCCAAAAACATTCACTTCTATAGTTTAAGAATACATTTTATATTTCGTATTAAACATTCATCCTTCTGATTTTAAATGGCGGTATTTTTATTACCGCTTCGAGTAAATTTTCATTTGTTTAGAGCAAGATTTTACTCCGAGAAATTTTGAAAACGATTATTTAATAAAAAAAATAAAATTATATTTTGTCTATTTGATATTTTCATGTACTAATAATTTCCATTGTTAAAATAAAAGGTATCTTTACAAGCGGTTAATAAGGTTTTTTATTTCCTTTTTAATATAAAACTTGGCAACTTTTTACATGCTAATACATGATAGAAAAATAATAATCAAGATATAAACATAACATTCCAGATAGCACAAAGAATTCAAAAATAATTCAAAAAGAATTTCGTCAAATGTCACCAATTCTGAGAAAAGGAATTCTTCAGAGTTCAGTGAAAAGAATTCTTTTTGCATCTAAAAATGAGCTCAAAATTGGTGACATGCGACTGATTTCTTTTTTAATTCTCTGTGTTATCTGGAATATATCATACATATAACATATATATCATGCAATATAACAAATATATTATGCAAAATTCTTAAAAATATATATTTTTGAACTTTTTGTTAAATTAATTTAAATTTGAAGGTACGAGGGTGTACCAGGATTTCGAAGGATGTCGACCATGCAGAGAGTCGGTATCCTCGTAAGGACAGCATTTCTATTTCCCTTTTTTTGTATCATGTACTATCTGATGCCCGAATCGAAGACCGGTCAGCTTATGCGAAGACCTTTCATGAAATTTCTTGTTCACGCGTCGTCCTACTTGTTTTTCTTGTGTGAGTGTAATTTTGCTTTCACGACGTCAGTAATAAAGAAAACCTAGAGCCGTATTCTTGACGCATTCTCGAACAGTAATACATCTTTCTTGTTACAAGTTTTGTTTTTATTTTTATAAAAGAAAATTTTTATATAAGAAAAACAGAACTTATCAAAAAGGCGTATTTATCGTCCGAAAATGCATCAACAATATGGCTGCTGCATTTTGCGACAAGGAGAATAACACAATTATCCAAGTAATACATTTGTAGTCGTGCTCATGCTGGTGTCACAGCGTGCGGAAGTCGAGATCGTTAGACTCCTGGGCACTCAGGAAATGAAGAGAAACCTGGAGGCTTATTTAGCACGGCAAAGAGGCATGGGCCCTACACCTCTGGAAGGTATCGTCGTGCTATACGTCCTTGGATTCGTGTGGGAAGAAATAAGAGAGGTACATCGTAAACATCGTATTATTACATCGTATTATAAACCGAGAATATAAGTGTAGGCATAATTTGAGAATACGTACCACATCTTTTTGTCACAATGTTTGTAATTTGACACTTGTGCTTTCTGCAATGTGCAAAAATGTTGGATTTTTTTATTGAAGCGATGTTTTTATTGACTTGTCTCCAACGTTTCAAAGTGTATGAAGTTGGCACCCCACTTTTTGAAATTTATAATTTTGAAAGTTGTTCCAGATTGTCCTGACTTTGTACCACATTGTTCCAAAGTGATATTGCTTCATTCGAAACGATTTTCGAATAAACCAAAAAAAATGATTTTTTGAGCTGGCACCCCACTTTTCGAAAATCGAACATTATGATACCGCAATAGATTGTTCTAGTTGTTCCAAACATTGTTCCAAAACGGCAAATCCGTAAGTTGAATTATAAGTCCAAAAAATGAAAAAAATGTTTTTAACCTGGCACCCCATTTTTTGAAAATAAAGCATTCCGATACCGATATAGATTGTTCTAGTTGTTCCAAACATTGTTCCAAAAGCACAAATCAATAAGTTTAATTATAAGCCCGAAAAATTAAAAAAAAGTTTTTTGACAAACAGTCTATCGGACCAAGAGTAAACTTATACTATCTTTCTTATTCCAACCGAGATCTTTTTGTTCTGAGTTGTTCTAGGTTTAAGAATTATAGTTCTAGAATATGAGACTCATAAGATCATTCGTTTTCCGAAAATTCGTAAAAAAATCGATTTGACACTACTCGACGTCAAGAGTAAACACATGTTTCTTTTCTTGTTCCAACCGAGATCTTTTTGTTCTAAGTAATACTAGGCTTAAACGACGAAGCAATTCCACTTTATTTTGTCATGACATTTTGTAATTATTTCCGCCAATTTTCCTATAATAAAGATTAATTTTTGTAAGAAATCATGTTTTTCTTGAATTTTTGTCACCTCAGAAATATATTTCAATCATCCTTATTTTCAATCATCCAAATAATTATACTTTTTTAAATCAGTATATAGAACTTTTTTTTTAAGAAAATAGTTTCATCTAAAAAAACCTGAAAATATTTTTGTTAATCTCAGTTGGAACAAGAAAAAAAGCATGTGTTTACTCTTGACGTCGAGTACTGCCAAATCGATTTTTTTACGAATTTTCGGAGAACGGATGACGCTACGAGTCTCATACTCTAGAACTATAATTTTTAAGCCTAGAACAACTCAGAACAAAAAGATCTCGGTTGGAACAAAAAAGATAGTCTAAGTTTACTCATGGTCCGATAGACTGTTTGTCAAAAAATATTTTTTTCATTTTTTGGACTTATAATTCAACTTACAGATTTGTCCTTTTGAAACAATGTTTGGAATAACTAGAACAATCTATTGCGACATCAGAATGTTTGATTTTCGAAAAGTGGGGTGCCAGCTCAAAAAATCATTTTTTTTGTTT